ACGACCACGCCCACTTAAACAAATTTTTAACTGCAGAACCCTCTCTAATGTGATCCTGTGTACCAAATAACAGTCTTGTATCTTATTGCGGAGCTTAGTTATGGGGATTTTTGTTTTGATTAATGTCGTTTTGTGGGCGTGACAGTGGTCCGATTACACCCATCTGCAATACCAACCGTCTCACGGTACCAAGAAACATGTCTACCAAGTTTCATAAAGATATCTCAATTTTACTCAAGTTACAGCTTGCAGCTTTTGGGATGTAGAGCAGGTTCGCCTCCGCGTGGTGCATCCTGGGTAACGCCAAATGACCTGCGGCCTTTACGGCTTGAAACTCCTGATCTGACCTTTGCTTGACCTGGACATAGCTTTGACAACTAGAGACTCTCTCTGCCCTAATAGGTTTAATGTGCATATCTCCTAAACCGCTAATGCTATTATAACAAAACTCACTGGAAGCAAATGTTTTTAGAACCTCTACCTACAGTGTGAAATTAGTTGAAATCGGGTGGCAACTCCGCCCACTCCCCATATAACGGTACTGTTAAAAACTACTAAAAAGCGCGATAAATCAAGCACCAAACACGTCAGAGACATTAAATTTTATCTCTGTGTTGGTATGAGATGACTTCAGAGGAACCAACTTCAAAATTAGGAGTGGGCGTGGCTTTGCTCACTTTTAGGTTAAAACCCATATCTTGGGATCTGCTTAACCAATTTCAACCAAATTCGGTACATAACATTCTTCTCATATTTCTATGTTATAGTGCGAAAATGGGCGAAATCGATTACAACCACGCTTACTTCCCATGTAACACCATTTTCAATTCCATCTGATTCTTTCACTTTCCACTATGCAAATCAGGTAACAATGATTATATCGGGGTAAAACTTTGCGTGAATAATGCGTTTAAAGTATGCCACTTGTGACCTAAAATTGTCTAAATCGGACCAAAACTGTTCAAGCCCCTAAGTACTAAATATGTGGACCCCAGTGCCTATAGTTGACCTTCTACCGAAAATATCGGTCAATCCACAAAGAAATCTCAAACGAGTATACCATTTGACTTTGCGAGAGTATAAAATGTGCGGTTACATCCGAACTTAGCCCTTTCTTACTTGTTAATAGTTGGATTTTAGTTTTGTGCTTTTACATTATCAAAAATTATAACAGAGACAGCAGATTTCTACGTTGCCACTACGGGCATAACTTTTGGGAAATTTGGTTTGATACGTGCGGCAAGTACGGAAGAGCGGAATGTCGGTGACTGTTTTCAGTATTGGTACATACATGTGTGAGTATACTTGCACACTCGGTTTTTTCGAAATATCGACCATAAAAGTGACGTAATAAACGCACTTTGCTTCAAGTTTATTGACATCAGCTAAAAACGCACCTATCACTGGCAAAGTGAAAAAATTAAACACTTTCCCTATCAGTGAATACAATAGGCGTACAGCTACAGTAATAGTAATAATAATAAAAGCTAAGTCGTAGTTCAGACAGATATTTATTTACATTATTATTTATTACGACAGTTCCTCTTTTTGTTTGGTAAAACTACGTATGCATATGGTTGTAAGGTCATCAGAGATGGTAAATAAAAAATATGTATGTGTACTCAACTACAGACTCATACATACATACTTATACATACTTATGTATATACTTATGAGCTATGAAATCAATTATTAGCCTCAGAAGTCAATTTGTAGAGAAGTTTCACTTTGTTTCCTTATACGATTATTAGGGTACCCGGTTAGCTATTGACAAAAGATTACTTGCAATATAAAACAACATATTGCTTATAAAGCAACAATACGAACTTGTTTATTTATTTAGAGTTCAAAAAAAAATGCTTCTTAGCAAAAACCAGAATAGTGATTGAACGTATATATTCAATTTTTAATACCAAACTTTACTATTGTCAGATCAACGGTCTCCACTTCATTTGCTCACCATTTATATATATTTTTTATAGAGTCTCCAACATTTCCTTCTGGGTGCTACAAACTTTGTGACAAACTTAATATACCCTTTTTTAATTAATTATATAATTCATTAAAATTATTAATTTTAGAAGATATTTTATAAAATTATAGATACAAATATACTTTATTAAGACTTTATTTGAAAAATCACATACGGTATATGTAGGTAAATTAATAATAATAATAACGGCGCAATTTGTTCGCTGGGTTAAGGCCTTCTCACTCAAAGCGAAATATAATATAACTTTTGTGAGAGTGGCTTTTTCTCCTTCTGATAAGCTATTGCTTGGAGCACACATGTATGTTAGTATGTATCTCCATTTATTACAGGTACGTGTATTTTGAGCTAATGGTATTAGTTTTTGAGAAGGTTTTGTTTATAATTTCGTTGTTATTATTGTATACCATTGTCGTGCAGTGGGAATGAAGTCATCGCTCGAAAAAACTTTAAAGTTATTTTAATATACATAAGTACATATAGCGAATGGTTAGCACCTAGTGATTTGTGGGGTAACTAAAGAAGTAGAAAATATTAGTGAATGAAATTTTGTATAAAATGTTAATCAAGTAGTGTGTAGAAGTGTTAAGTATATGCCGCTTAGTCCACGTATGTAGATTCTTCAATAAAGCATTCAACCTGCGTAATATAACTTAATATATTAACGATTAACAAGATGCTTAAAAGATCTAGATTATTTTAATTGTATAATCTCTTTTATATCCTGTGATTCTTTCTAAAGACAACGGTACAAACCCATAACTTGAGTATCTACTATAATTAATACTTTATTGTAAAAGTTGAAAAAGAAAAACGATATAAAAATTTCTAATTTCGTTTTAGATATTGTGTTTCTTCAGAACTTCGGAACAATAAATTTCGAATATTCGAAAATAATGCCTGGGTAGGGCAACAATGCATTTGAGTTCGCTCGGATTTAGTCTTATTAAATTATTGCTTAATTACCCAAGAGCGCTACCAAAGACTTCTGGTAAAGTTTCTGTGAGTTTATAAGGGGTTAGGAGGGTTTTACATGTTCAAAAAAAGGGTACTTTTACTATTTTTTAATATATGTCATATAAAGCACTCTCTTATGATCTTAGGTGTAAATTTTGATGTTTTTGACGTATTTATTTATTGATTTATCGCGCTTTTAGTAGTTTTTAGCATAATCGTTATAGGTACTTGTGTGGAGAGTGTGAGGAGTTATGATTCGATTTCATTTATTTTTATTATTTTTCGGTAGGGGTGAATAAGAGATTTGTTCCAAGCGAATTTAGTTATATACAGGTGCCCCTTTCTGCTGCAGTCCCTTGTGCCAAATTACAGTTTTATATCTTAGTTTGCAGCTTAAATATGGCATTTTATAGGTTTTCGTTTAATGGCGTTTTGTGACGTGGCAGTGTTCCGATTACGCCCATACCTCATAATATCTCAATTTTTAATCGTTCCTTTATCTTGATCATTTATATACAATATATATATATAATCCTATAACTATCTTAATTAGATTTAGGTGATACAAACAACCGTTAGGCGAACAAAACTATTATACTCTGTTGCAACTGTTGCAAGAGGATAAAAATAAAATAACTATTTTATTTGCAAGATATCCTTCGTTTAATTTTTTAAATTCTGTAAAACTTTCCACTGTTGTATGTCATTTAGAAAGATTTTGTTAAGACTAAAGATGTTGACATCTTTTTTATTAGTCTATGTAATAGTTATGACCACGTAAAAGAGTTTAACTAATTTTCTCGCCCTGACAAATGGTCAATACCACATTTTTATGATTTCAAACTTGTCTTTGAACCTTTTTAACGCAAAAGTGAGAAAATACATATATTTATATGCATATATAGACTGATTTTACTCGTATGTGCATATTCTCTCGAAAACAATTCTGATAAACTTTTGAAAAACTCACTCAAAAGAATATGTGTAAATTTGTTTCTCACTCAAGCTCAAACAGTTGTCACAGCTACAAATTCAATAATATGGTAAGTACATATGTATGTGCATGTGTGTATATGAAACATGTAAATATTTATAGGTTCTCATTTATATTTTAAGAAAATGTTTGTGTGCGTGCAAATATGTGTGCAGAACAGCGTCCGCTAGAAACAGTTAGCTTTTGCGCACTTTTCCCACCGACGGCTGTGCGCCATTGTAGAACGACAGATTTCGTCGCAATTTTGTCCAGTACGCAGAGTAAAGCGGAGCAGACCACGGCAACGACGAGGCTAACTGTGACTGATTAAACAAATACGATTAAAACTAAAATTTAATAAAAAGTGCCAGTATTTCAATTATATTCATTAATTTTTTGTGTAGTATTCGGCCAATCTAAAAGTGTAAGTGTATATTTTAATCTCAATGAATGCATTTGTAAACCCATACGTTTGTACATATGTATGCACCTGAACGCACGATGCAAAAAATACCGAAAAGTACACGAGCATCTCAGACGAGTCATGGAATCTCGGCTCTTTTGATAAATGGCGCCAGCACCAAGGTAGTTGTTTACAAACAAATAATTGCCTGAGGTGGATAACATAGAAAAACATCTCAGTTGAAACGTAAAATTCCAAATTTTATTTAAAAATAATATAATAGATTAAATCAACTCCGGGTCATCAATATTTAAACAGTCAATTATTTTGTAGAAAAAAATTGCTTCTACACGAAATTTAGCATCAGATGAGTATATATATACATATGTAGGTAGTGCTATGTATGCCAGCGTACACCTCTATTTCTATATAAGAATTTATATACATATATATTATACTTATGTGTGCAAAAGTGTATTATAAAAATCTGGAAAGTGGGTCATGAAGCGCGGCATTTAACTACGTTCCGTACAATGTACAATATAAAATTACGGATGTATACATATGGATGCAAGTGCACTTCCGCCAACTCTTCCCGTTTCTTGAAGAACAAGTGACATTAGAACAGCTCCTTTTATTAAATTGACTCATCATGTCTTTTATGTAGCATCATTTTAGGCGTTCAGCGCTCGGCTTAAGTTGAGTTTTATAATATTAGACAGCGCAATTGTTTATAAGCGATTATTTCCATCAACATTTTTACTTTATCTAATATGTAAGTACATAACCTGGTACTGAAAATTGTTGAAGTACACAAAATATTTCACCGAAGTTAATATCTCGGTATCTCTCAAAATAAAGAACGATCAATCCAAACTTGAAAAATGTAAGATATATCTAGAAAACTTAGCTTGATTCTAGCTCTTACAAAATTATATTCAACCCACCCATTTTCAAAGCTCATATGTAAATCTTTCTAAAAACCAAAATTTCGAAATGCAGCGTTTGGAAAATGGCTCAAATTTAGCACATTTTCACTTCTTTTCATTCTGCTTTTATTTCTGGAGTAAATACTGAAACTTAACGCTTATAATAAAAGATTTTCATGGCAAAATGGTGCTACCAGCAGACATTTATGACAACAGATTAACTCGCTATATACTCGTATTCGGCCTACAGGGTTCGCGCTATTCTGCGAACATGCGCATTTCGGACGCTGCGCGTTTACGATTACTCAGTGTGGGTATGATGTCATAACTATGCTCGTACACTCAAATAACGCCCAACAATTGCTAGAACTGACTACCCTTATGCTACCCACAATTACAGCGAAGCAGCGGCGAAAGTGTTTTCGATACACGATTTAACTCGTACCAATGTTCTGCTTTCCTTGAATATTTTTTCCTCTTTCTATCCTCTTCCTATTCCTCGTGTATTTTGATTGAAATACTACTTTATCACGTCCACGACTTCCTGGTTTCATGCTTTCCTGGTTCGTGAGTGCAGCCATTTTATAGGTTTTTGAACTTTGGGCAGTTTAATGATGACGGAGATTTGCTTTCTTTCTATGCCTTCCTGTCTGACTAACATTCGGGAGTTATAACCATGTATGTAACTGTGTCCCAATAACTACTTTATTGAGTCATACTTAATCCGAATTAATGCATTGCTCTTGTGACACGGTTGCAGCAATTAATTTGGTTTTTGTACCCATTCTCCCCTCATATTGTGCAGACAATGTTTAGCTACCAGTATTTTGGTGGTCCATGTTGACCAAGTTTCCTGATTAAAATATGCCAATTTGATCAGAGTGAGTGGTTTTGTGGGAAGTTCTAGGGTAATCTATGTTTAGCAAAACTTGTTTAACGCTAAAATTTATGGGAAAATGTTTCAAATATACTTGACTGTTTTGACGAAAAGTATTGAACCACTTCCTTACTCCTTGTAATAATTAAAATTACCGATTTTTAAATTTACTTTCAAGCACATCAACTCAAATATAGAAATTTTTTTCTCCAGTACACCTAACTTTAATGATCAGCAAAATAGTTCGCTTAAATTTATAAAATTAGTAAGGTCTTTGAAAATTTTCTCCCAATATTATAAAAGTACAAGTAAAACATCTGAATTTAAGAAACATTGGAATTTAAGCCAACTATAAATAAAATAAGGCATTTTTGTGTGTCCTTGATTTTTTTCATAAATTGTGCTTCATATATTACATTTATATCACGGGATGACTTGCAACAAGCATTAAAAAATGTTTTTCTATACGATCCTCATCCCTCTTATTTTTCTGAATCCGTACTTAAGCAACGATACTAGGAAAACGCAGAATGTTCGACTACAAGTTCAGTTCTCAGTTTTTCAGGCCGAAATTATTGGCATAACATAATGCGCCAGGTGCGCTTCTGCTCTTACCAGCAAGCCCATAAAACTTCTAGTGGACAGCCAAGTGGCCTTTGAAGCTATCCGTCGCGCCTACACTAAGTCTCAAAATCCTCTGGGTACCCAGTCATATAGGAACACAAGTAAACGAAAAGGTAAGCGCGGTAGGCCCGCTCGACATACATCATTAAACCTGTATGTAAATCCAATTTAAAATAACTTTCAAAAATATTGCAAATATATATTTGTTACGCAAGCACGTTACAAAAATATTTGTATCCCCTGAACAGGGTATATATACGAAAACCATATAAAATATATATACATATAAATGATCAGTATGGCGGTCGATCTGAAATTTTGTACACGTTCATTTCTCCCCAAGGAACTGCTAATTTTTCGGAACCGCCGGTATCGGATCACTATAACATATAGCTGCCATACAAAAAAACAATCAAAATCCAGGAAAACTTTTGAATTTAACGAGCAACCGATCTTAACATTCTTTTTTATTTTTATTTTTATTTTTATTTTTAATTTGCCTAAATACATACGTACATACTATCGTACATGAAAATATAAGAATTTACGAAAGCATCAATGGGATATTTTGTTAAAATTTATTTTATACAACAAACATTCGAACACTGTTGCGTACATTTATGCGCATAATTAATGCTTGGCGTGTGTCCATGTCGTACCTAGTAAATAATATTATAGTATGTATGTACAAACATTTCCGCATGATATGTTGAAATAAAATTGGAAACTTGTATAATTTATTAGTTTTTTATTAGTAATTTTAACCAATCTTTCTGTATCTGTTCTTTTCATGAGCTTTTGCACATGTACATACGTACTAATTATACCCTGAACAGGGTATATTAAGTTTGCCACGAAGTTTGTAACACCCAGAAGGAAACGTCGGAGACCCTATAAAATATATACATAAATGATCAGCATGATGAGTTGTGTTGATTTAGCCATGTCCGTCTGTCTGTCCTTCTGTCTGTATATATACAAACTAGTCCCTCAGTTCGCTATCGAGCTGAAATTTCGCACCTCTCTTCTTCTTACTAAGAAGCTACTCATTTGTCGGAACCGCCGATATCGGAATACTAAAGCATATAGCTGACATACAAACTGAACGATTGGAATCAAGTACTTGTATGGAAAACTTTTTTATTTGACGAGGTATCTTAACAAAATTTGGCATGAGTTATCTTCTAATGCAACAATGTACAAGTATTCTCCACAGAAATTGTATAGATCAGATCACTATATCATATAGCTGTCATTGAACGATCGGAATCAAGTTCTTGTATTTGTGAAGGGTATTATAGCTTCGGTGCAACCGAAGTTAACGTTTTTTCCTATTTTTCTATTTATATGTAACCACACAATGACAAATAATATTTTTTGGTTCTTATGAGTAATAAGCTTATGCCTTAGACAGTTAATTGAGCCGTGCCAACATGTTTACGTATTTTTTATGAATCATGAACACAAAGAATTCACAAATATAGTCAGATGACAGGTTTAGAATAGTCTTTGTTTTTTGTCAGATATATGATAATATATCGCCTTATAATTTTGAATTAAGAGCGAAGAAGTCCCCCCCGAATCTATCATGTAACACTTCTCGTCGAGCCTGAAAAGGGTGAATTATAGTGAAATAACAAGGCTAGATTTAAGGAATGTAAACTGACCCTTGAAAAATGTACTTTTTTTTGTAAAACTCTGTAATTATAATGCACATTATGGGGGAAAATAGGGTTAGACGATTCAAAAAATCGATTTCGTTATATTATAAATTATTACTATAACTTTGAAAAAATGTTCCCGAAAATTTTAATAAAACTTTCGATTCGTTCTATTGTTATAAGCCATTAAAGTGCGTAGCTCCCCTATAGGCCTCGAGCAAGAGATTTTTTTAAACGCGTTTTTATCAAAAAAAACTTTTCGAACGCTAGTTTGAAAAGTTTTGAACCAAATTAGCGGTCACTTTCCTCATGGTATTGCGCCCTTTAAAAAAATTATTTTCAAAATTTTTAATTGCTTTTAGGTTCATATAAGAGAGAGACACAGAGTGGCAAGCAATATTGGTCGGATGTTTGTCGAAATTCAACGTAAGATGCTTCCAAGAGTCAATAATTATTCAATTTGCTTGAAGTTTTGAATGTTTAAGTTCGGATGTAACCGAACATTTTATACTCTCGCATAGTCAAATTGTATACTCGTTTTACATTTCTTTGTGCCGGTGCCACGCCCACTGTCTAATTTTGAACGCGGATCCTATAAAATCATCTCATACCATCCCAGAGATAAAATTTAATGTCTCTGGCGTGTTTAGCGCTTGATTTATCGCGCTTTTAGTAGTTTTTAACAGTACCGTTATATGGGAGGTGGGCGGAGTTGCCACCCGATTCCAACTATTTTCACACTGTAGGTAGAGGTTCTAAAAAATTTCCTTCCCTCTCTAATGTGATCCTGTGTACCAAATAACAGTCTTGTATCTTATTGCGGAGCTTAGTTATGGCAATTTTTTTGTTTTTAATTAATGTCGTTTTGTGGGCGTGGCAGTGGTCCGATTACGCTCACCTGTAATACTAACCGTTTTACGGTGCCCAGAAACTTGTGTACCAAGTTTCATAAAGATATCTCAATTTTTACTCAAGTTAGAGCTTGCACGGACGGACGGACGGACAGACAGTCACCCGGATTTCAACTCGTCTCTTCATCCTGATCATTTATGTATACATAACCCTTTATCTAACTCGATTAGTTTTAGGTGATATAAACAACCGTTAGGTGAACAAAACTATTATACTCTGTAGCAATAGGTTGCGAGAGTATATAGAATCACATTAGGGAGAGGCATCTGCACTTTAAACTTTTATTTAAAAGTGGGCGTATTCCCGCCCCCTACTAAGTTCAATGTGCATATCTCCTAAGCCTTTATAGCTATAATAATAAAATTCTCTGAGAGCATATGTTATTAGCACCTCTAAAGACAGTGTGAAAATGGGTGAAATCGGGTGTCCACCCCGCCCACTCCCCATATAACGGTACTATTTAAAACTACTAAAAGCGCGATAAATCAAGCACTAATCACTCCAGAGACATTAAATTTTATCTCTGGGATGGTATGAGATGTCTTTATAGGAACCGACTTCAAAATTAGGCAGTGGCCGTGGCTTTGCCCACTTTTAGGTGAAAACCCATATCTTGGGATCTGCTTAACCGATTTCAACTAAATTCGGTACATAGCATTCTTCACATATTTCTATGTTATTGCGTTACAAAAGAGCAATCAGCTCACAATTTTCGGGGATATCCTACCGTAGGAGCGTCTGTAGGAGCGAACGGTGGAAGCGGTGGTGAGTGTTCATTTACACTGCGCTCTCATAAGATAGGTCGTATCAGCTGATTCGGTCTACGGTTTTGCGTCGTTGACTGTTTCCAGCATAAGTAGTGCTTTAACTTTGTGTTCATTTTCATTCAAATTTTATTCAGCAAGTGCAGAATAACGATACATACGTATGTATACTATCTCTTGGCGGACAAGAAACAGTAAATGCTAATGATGAAAAGAAATTACAAAAAAGAAAAAACGCTAACTTCGGTTGCGCCGAAGCTATAATACCCTTCACAAATACAAAGGCCCCTTACAAGAACTTGATTCCGAACGTTCAATTTGTATGGCAGCTATATGATATAGTGATCTGATCTGACCAATTTCTGTGGAGACTAATTTGTTGCCTTAAGCAATAACTCGTGCCTATTTTCGTGAAGATACCTCGTCAAATAAAAAAGTTTCCCATACAAGCACTTGATTCCGATTGTTCAGTTTGTATGGCAGCTATATGCTATAGTGGTCCGATATCGGCCGTTCCGACAAATGAGCAGCTTCTTTGTTAGAAAAGTACAGGTGCAAAATTTCAGATCGATAGCATAAAAACTGAGGGACTAGTTTGTATATATACAGACAGACGGACAGACAGACGGACATGGCTAAATCAACTCAGCTCACCATGCTGATCATTTATGTATATATTTTATAGGGTCTCCGACGTTTCCTTCTGGGTGTTACAAACTTCGTGGCAAACTTAATATACCCTGTTCAGGGTATAAAAAAATTAAATTGCTATTCTAAAGTACATACCTTATACTTTCTTGTAGAAGAAAAATTTTCTTCGGATTTCCCTATACAAAACCACAGTTAACAATAACAAATGGATGAACTAAAAAACCGCGATCACAAACCAACGGTTTAGAAAATGACGTTCGGACGGACCGTGCTCAGGCAACGATTGCAGGAGGGGCTTGAGCGTCTACTAATTACTAAAGCAATTATTTAGCTTCAAAAATATGATTTACATACATATATGATGAGATTGGACGTTTTTTTAAATTTTGACTTATTTTTCCATATAAATACTATCTACTACTAAATCGATCTGTTCCTAAATATTAATATCTGATAAGAAGAAAAACAAAATCAGGTCTTTTAAAACGTAATTTATTTATTAATCACACTTAAATAGGTAATTACAAACACGAAATATAAATATATAACGACTCCCCTAATTAATACGTTTCTCTGCTCAGTCAAATGATATCTACCATTTAAACTATTCTCTACAGAAAAGAATCCAACTTACCTAAAATCGATCGACAAGATCTGGGCGTAATCCCTTTTTCCGACAATAACTAGTTTGCATTGCGAAGGTGGTTAAGTACTTAGCCTAAAAAAGTAAGAAGAACATTTTGAAAATATGTCAGTATACTCCTAAACATATTCTTCGTTTTATATCCTGAATTTGGTATTTTAAGTTTGCCACGAAGTTTGTAACACCCATCAAGCGTCGGAGATATATTGTCCAAGGCAACCTACAATCTCCGAACAAATTGTTCAGATTGGACCACTATGTCATATAGCTGTCATACAAACTGACCGACCAAAATCATGTTTGTCTATGGAAAACTTTTATTATTTGTGAAGGGTATTATAGTTTAGGTGCAATCAAAGAAAACGCTTTTTCTTGTTTCTCTATAAGATTGGTCCAGCGATTAACCAATTTCTTCTAAATAGACTTCGTGGCGGTGATCCTCTTTCGACTTAAATTTCTGTACGGCAAGTAATTTTTTCAAGGTTGTCAAAAATAAGTC